TTAAATATTAATAAATATAATTTAATTATTTTTAATTATTTAAATATTATACTTATCACTTTCGTTAATAATATTATTATCTATATCTGGTATATAATCATAATATAATACATAAATAGATGGATATATTAAAGAAAGTGTATAATATTTTGACCACCTAACCATTCTGTTGTTTCTTCAATTGGTTTAAAAAGAACAATTAATTTTTTTAATAAAATCTATTCATAATCTAAAAGAATTCGCGTTCTTAATTTTTCATAATCCTTTTTAAATTCATTCTCTAGACATAAATTTAAAAGAACCTGTTTAATAGGATCTTTTAATACTTGTAATCTTTTCCAAGAAGCTAAAGATAATTCCCATCAGGTCTTGACATCATTAATAGTTCACAAAATTTTTAATGGATGTTGATCAATTGATGTTAAATCAAATAAAATTGAATCATTTTCTAGTTGTGTATCATATCTAGATGCAATTTCTTTCTGAGCCTCTTCTAACCGTTCATTTTGTTTTGAAGAATTAAAAAATTGAATTAATTCCTTAAATCGTTTGGTATATAGTTTAATTTTTTCTAACCCTTTAATAACACAAAGCTGCAATGTATATGCACTATATGGAATATGATTAACACCATCCTATTCATGAATAGCTTTAATCATGTTACTATTATTGTCAGTAATTATTACATTTACTTTACTATCTAATCCAAGCAGTTGAAGTTGAGTTAAAATAGTTTGGCAGATATTATTGCCATTATGAGGATAATTAATTGATACAACACAAATTAATATATCATATAATCCATATTTTCTGTAAGCTAATGACATGTAATTCCGATATAACCTGATTTTGTGTGAGATGTCCAAAGATCTGTAGTTATAGCTGCTGTATTACAGGTATAAGTAATCATTTCCTTTATAGCCTAAAATGCAGCTTGATATCCATAACCAATATCTTTTTTGATCGTTACATAACATGGTGGCTTAAATGCAAAATTAAGCTTATTAATCATATGTAAAAATCTTTCTCTATTTGCTAAATTAAAAGGTTGAGAATCTGTTACTAGTCAATCAGCCAAAGCATTTCTTAATTCACGTTGCTTAGGTTCTTTATGTAGCATAAACTTTTTTTATTTGATCATCTACTTTTAATTGTTTCTAAAAAGTAAAAATAATATATTAATTTAATATATATCTATTTGTAATAAAAATGCGTAACGATAATGTTGTTTTACCAATTTTTCTTTTTCAAACTTTTTATGAACAGAATTTAAATGATGTTGTTGAGTGCTAGTTTGAATATTATACATGCAACTATAATTACACTCTTTTTCAATTCTATTTTTTAATATTTTATATCTGCAATAAGCACGTCCATCAGTTTTTATTCCAAAATGCTTCCACTAAAGATGGTCCCCATAATTATTTTCAAATTTCAATTGAGTTGCAACTTAATTGCATCATAAGAAAATTTAATTGCACCACAAGTTGCAACTCAATTGCGCCATTTTTTTTAATTGCGGTGATCATCTTTAGCTTTCACACCTAACTTGTTTTATTATTTCCAAGTTTAACTCACTGAGGTTCTTGCTGATTAATATTTGAAGATAAATCAACATTATTTCTTTTAGTTAACTGGGTCGAAATAATATTAGTTTAGCGTTTATGTTTTCTATTCTGGTCTGACATTTAAAAGGATATTAAAAAAAAAAATTTGAATTTTTCACGTTAAAATTAAATGGGTTACAATGATCATCCAATATTTAAAAATTTAAATATTATAAATAAAAATTCTGATACTTTGAAATGCATTTTTATGACGAAAAAAGCGAATAATGCTACAACTATGACTATTTTATTTAAAAAGCTTTAATGTTAAAAGACCAGTTGCTATGTCTTAAGAATAAAAAATTTTTTCCTTCTTTTACGAATGTCATTGAACTTTAAAAGGAATTTTTTTTTCTTTTTTTTTTTAATAATAATATTATTTAGTTTTGTTTATTATTTATTTATATGCTATATTATATCATAATGACATAATCGATCAAACATAATAATTATTAATCGATCATTCATAGAAATTTAATTGATTAAAAATCAATTAAAGTTAGTTCAATTTTGATTGATAGCAATATTCTGCGATCGACAAATTGATTGAAACAATCAATCATCGATCTTACTCAATTCGATTAAAAGCCCTAGGTCATATTTCACCTTCATATTCGCTATCATTCAAATCTTCATTATCCTCACTTTCGTCTTCAGTAATATTGTCTTTTAAATTTTGTACAAGTGAACCAAGTAAATCATGAATATTTTCGATTCTTTCTTAGTAATATTTAAAGAGATCAGATCAGAAGACATTGTTATTCTTAGTTAAAGCATCTAGATCATAATGGCTAATATGAAGAAGAACTTTAATTTGACAAAAGTCTTCCCATTGAGAACCATTACAGTAAAAGGAAGGATGCGGCCAAACACATACAATATTTTTACGTTCGCACTATTTTCAGTGACTTTTAGAATAACGATAATTCTGATAAAGTTGAAAAAGCGAAAGATCCTCAAGTTCAGCAGTACAATTCTAATATTTTTAAAGAAAAGATTGCGCTATCTGACCAACTTCATCATCTGCTGAAAATAGAGCATTTTCAGATTCACAGAGCCATTGAGAAACATCTTTGTTGAGGTTTAAAGAGACAAACTGACAGCTGGAACTATAAAGAGGAAGGTCAAGAAGTAAATGGCATTTCTCCTAAGCAGATATATTACATTCTGAAATAGTCTGAAGCAGTAAACCTTGAATTACTGCAAGGAAGGATCACTTGGATTGCTATCATTAATAATTGTGGATAAAATATCTGAGAAAGTAGCAGAGTGAGGTTCTGCTTTACTTGCGTATTTGAAAATGTAATGTAATGCAATATCTATACTAATAACAGGCTTCAGGTTAACATTCACATGCCAACCTTGAAGCTGTAAGTAGTCATAAGAGTTAAGAAGTAGGTCATTTCTTGCAGTAATTGATTCAGGCTTTCTATTATCATCTTGTAAGTATGTATTTTCAGTGATATCTTTTGGGTATTTAAACCTGCAATATTGTTGTCTAGTGTGATCAACACGAAGATAGTAAGAAGGATTACATCGGGTATGACATTGCAGCTTGTTAACTAAATTGATATAATCCTGTAAGTCATACTGCAGCTCATCAAAACGTTTTTGGTAGGAATGACGTTCAGGAAATGGTGCTTTAAGACCAGAATTAATCGTAGTAACTAAAGAATCCAGGTATTAAACCATATTATTTATCAATTTCTCATTATCTTTCATTTTATTCCAATCAATAATAGATGCATCTTTTCTTTTAGCAATACTATGTACGTGAGAGCTTTCATAATGCTGCCACTCGAATCAGTATTACCAATCTTTAAAATTCTATTTCAGTACTAAAACTTTTTTAAAAAACAACTTAAACCTCTTCTCAAAAAACCAAGCGGTAATATGAGGATTGTTGATTAAGTCTTGCCACTTTTATTTGTTCACATCCT